TCCTGTTTGTTTGAAGTGTCTGGACGCGGTTCTTCATCATCAAGATCGATCGATTCGAAGTCCAGGCCATCAACATCGTCATCGGAAATCAGCATCGACATTCCAAAGGCCGACTCATCGAAGTTGACATCGCGACTTATCATCACCTGCCCCGCTTCGATGTCGTAAACTCGATACGCCTTGGACACTTCTTCGTAGCCCAAAAACAATCCAGCCCGGGCCTTGGGATCCCACTTGAGTCGTTTCTCCTTCGGGGTCAAGATGTATGCTTGGCACCCAAAAACGCGCATGTGCTTGACACTTGGCTTAGAATTGTAGACAATCTCGAACGGTGTCTTGTGTGGAATCTTGGGTGACGGCAAACGGTTCTTCACATAGACGGCCGTCATTGCCGCTTCAGCCCAGAAGCACTTGTCCAACTTGGCATGATGGAGCATGCTACGACCGATGGTGACGATAGTTCGAATCGCGCGTTCAGCAGTTCCATTGGCTTGATGTGCGTATGGCACCGTGGTTTGTTGCTCGATGCCTTCGACTTCGTAGAAATCTTGAAGCGAGTTCGTCGCAAACTCGCGGGCTCCATCGTGTCGCACAAATTTGACCTTCTTGTTGAACTGCGTCTGTATCATCGTGATGTACTTCTTGATGCACTCTTTGCTCTCTGACTTGGAATGCAGACAAAAACTCTTCATGCATCCGCTGGCTTCATCCACGATCAGCAGCAGATACTTGCTGCCACCCAGAGATTTTTCTTCCATGGGTCCGCAGATGTCGAAGTGGAGCATCTCGAAGGTGTTGTAGGTGCGCTTGTCACGGTTGCTCGGGAATGGTTTTTGGACCATCTTCCCTTCTTGGCATCCTCGACACACACTTGATCCATTCGGCTTGGAAGGGATGTGAGCGTCCTTGATCATGTGGCTTGTCACCATCCTGCGAAGCACGTCGACTGGAGCATGGCCCATTCGCGCATGTAGATCAACAGCGTTGCTGAGTGATGTCGCATTGGCCGATCGCTGCGTCGTGCGAAGCCAGTAGAGTCCGTCTACAAGATCCGCAGCTGCCACCACTTGATTGGAATCCTTGCGAGCGACGTACATCGTATTCCCGTCAAACACCACTTGGAAGTTGCCGTGCTTGTTAATCTGCGGCACCGAGAGCAGATTTTTGCTCATGCTGGGCACATAGAGCGCGTTCTTGATCTCGATCTCGCGCTCTTCCCCGTTTGGCAGAATCACCTTTTCCACGATGGTCCCCACCCACACCTTTGATGGTCGCCTTGTTGCCATCAGCCACCAGGATCTCGCCATCATTGCCTTCGACCAAGCTTGCAAACTTGAACTTGTCGTGGCAGATGTGATGTGTTGCCCCGCTGTCAACGGCCCACATTCCTGGTCCATTCTTGTTCGTCGAAACTCCGCATTCGAACGAAACTGCAAACGCCACTCGATCGTAGCTGTTTCCTTCATCATAATGTCGCCACTGGACATTGTTTGCCCCGCGTCCACGACCATTGCCGCCGCGTTGGGCTCCTCGACTTTCATCCTTTTGCTTCGTCCAGCAACGCTCTGCCGTGTGCCCCACCTTGCCGCAGTATGTGCATTGGTAGGGCTTGCGCTCGGTACTGAATGCCTTTGTCGCATCTTCAGTCTTCACCGTTGTCGTTGCCGTTGTCATCTTCTCGCCTTGTCGCTTGATGTGCTCGTTAGTCAGCACCTTGACCACATCTTGCGTGCGCAGCTCTGCATTGCTCATCTCTAAGTTCAGAACCACGTTCTCGAAACTCTTCGGGAGACTGAGCAGCAAGCAGATCGCAATGTCTTCGTCTTCCATCTTGGCACCGATGCTGCTGAGCTTGGCGCCGATGTTCAAGACTTCGTTGCAATGGTGCAAGACGTTGGCACCTTCCGCCATCTTGATGCTGAACAGCTGGCGCTTGAGGTAGATGCGTCCCGCCTTCTGCGACCCACCATAGAGCATCTTCAACCGCGACCACGCTGTCCATGCTTCTTCACAGTTGTCGACCACATGGTGGTAGTCGGCGTCCATGTGGAGCAACATCAACCCGAACGCGATGTTGCTCGCCTTGACGTACTCGTCGGAAGCTCGCGTGTCGGTGAAGGTTGGAGACGTTTCGCGGTTCACGACGTACCAGACTGACTTCGTCAGAAACACGCCGCGCATGTAGCGACACCAGGTTGAGTAGTTGTCCCCATCGAACTTATCGATGGAGACACTGGCCGAGGTGTTGTTGGACGACATGGCGCTTGGGCTCATAACCTGTTGTTTCTTGAGCGCGAGGCGAAGAGAAAACGAAGCGGAGAGACCGGAGAGAACGAAGCAGAGAACACTTGCTCACTTGAGGGAGGATTCGAAAGTGATTGATTTATAGGTCTTAACTTCTGCCTACCCTAGACTGCATCCAATCACATGGTGCATCTAATCAACCTGATTTACACGCGTCCAATCATCCTACGCGTCTAATCATCTCTGAGGTAATTACCGATGTAAAAACTATCTCGTAAGAACCACGCGCTAGGTTCGGATTGTACCGGTAACCCTCAATAGTTATCTTCGTCACTGCCCTTTTGCTCTTCGTCCAGATTGTCTCGAGCGCTTGATCGTCACTTCGCTTGGTGCGATTCAGAGTCATCCGGGGCACTTGCTTCTTCTAACCCGGTTCCACGACGCTCAAGAAGTGTCCGTTGTAGAACTTGTTCTTGACTGTTTGAACGGCTTTTGCGTTTTCCAGTTTGCTTGAACTGCATGGGGTGAGGCTCATCGCTGATGTTCATCGATTCGATATCCAGCGCAGTGTCATCAACAATTTCTTGTGGTAGCCTCGGCGAGAAACCAAGCGTTGATTCGTCGAATGTGATGTCACGACTGATCACCACTTGGTCCGCTTCAATGTCGTACACTCGATAAGCTTTTGACGCTTCTTCGTAGCCCATGAACATCCCTTCACGAGCCTTCGGGTCCCACTTAAATCGCTTCTCCCTTGGTGTCAGGATAAACGCCCGACATCCAAACACGCGCATGTGCTTGACACTTGGTTTCGACTTGTACACGATTTTGAACGGAGTCTTGTGGTCGATCTTGGGTGAAGGCAGGCGGTTCTTGATGTAGATCGCCGTTATTGCCGCTTCAGCCCAGAAACACTTCTCCAGCTTTGCATGATGCAACAAGCTGCGTCCGATCGTGACGATGGTCCTTATCGCGCGTTCTGCGGTGCCGTTGGTCTGGTGTGCATACGGTACCGTGATCTGTTGTTCGATACCATGATTTTTGTAGAAGGTCTTGATGGAGTTGGTCGCATACTCATGCGCTCCATCGTGCCGAACAAACTTGATCTTCGTGCTGAACTGAGTTTGAATCTTGATGATGTGGTTCTTGATACAGTCTTCACTCTTGTTAATGGTGAAAAGCTTGACGACCGAAACTGGGAGTGATGCTGAGAGTCCACTCGGAAGACCGGAGAAGACACTTGGGGTTTAGATGGAAGATTGGAAAGTGATTGATTATCGGGGCTTACTACTTACTACATGATTTATATGTGGTGTACATATAAATCATGTGAAGCGTCTCATCATCCTACGCGTCTAATCAACTATGGTAATTACCGTAAGAACTACGTCGTAAATACTAAGCTGAACAGGCGGTTCGGATTGGACCGGTCACGGTTACCAATACTGGTAGAAACCGATGACCGTCAACACGCCCCCTCAATCCGAACTCGCACGAATGCCGAGAGCCGTCGTCAAGTCCTTGTGACGAGGTCCCGAAAGTCCCTTGGTCATGATGTCCGCCATCATCACGGAAGTCTCGCAATACTCGAGCTGCACTTCACCGCGCTTGACCTCATCACGGATGTGATGGTACTTGATGTCGATGTGCTTGGCGCGGCCATGATTCACCGGACTCTTCGTCATCTTGATGCACGACTGGTTGTCTTCACGGATGATGAGGTCCGGTCCTGGTTCGTTTGCGGCCGCCAAAATCTCGCATAGCAGGCGATGCACCCACTTGCCTTCCTGGATGGCCAGACTCAGTGCGATGTATTCCGCTTCACTCGTCGACAGCGACACACTTGACTGTTTCTTGCTTCCCCAACTCACAGGAGCACCCATCAGCATGAAAGTGTAACCCGAAGTCGACTTGCGATCAGCGTGGTCGCCGGCCCAGTCCGCGTCCGAGTAGCCACGAAAGTCGATCTTTTCGCTTGGCTGGAAGCGGAGTCCGTGCGACTTGGTCCCTTGCAAGTAACGAAAGATGCGCTTCACCGCCGTCCAATGTTCTTGCTGCGGATTCTCCATGAAGCGTGAGACGTACCCCACAGCATACGCAATGTCCGGGCGCGTCGCAGTCGTCAAGTGCATCAAAGCTCCCACAGCTTCACGAAACGGAACGTCGATCTTGGCCGCTTCGGTGCTTGCGACAAGCCGAGTGCTCAAGTCGACCGGACTTGCTGTGGCCTTGCACTAATCCATGCCAAAGCGCTTGAGGATGTCGTTGACATGCCGTCGCTGGCACATCGTCACGCTTATTGTGGGTTGACGGTTGAGGTACTGCTATCAGCTACCATGGGAACCGTAAACCTGTCCAAGTCGATCCCGCGTAATTACGGTGAGTTTTTACCAATGATTAGACGCATAGGATGATTGGATGACCTACATGATTTACGATTCATGATTTATATGTGGACAACATATAAATCAGTGCAGAGATAAATCAGGTAGCTTGAACAAAACCCACAAATAAATTCACTTCCAAATATTCCTTCTTCAGCACAAGTCGTCTACACTTCGCAGTGCAGACTTCTTCAGCGTTCTTCAAGCTTCGTTCTCTCGTCCAGTGCTCTTCAGACTTTAACAACGCTGCCATCCGATTCGTCCACCAGTTCGATGCCCAGTACAAAAGTACACTTGCCACTGTCGGTCATCTCGAAACGCGTCTTGAGGTCGGCCTTCGTCTGCGCAATCAACTCGAGCGAGCTGCCGGTGACCAACACGTCATCCACGTAGACCAGCACGAGCACACAGTGACCGTCGACAACCTTGATGTAGAGACATGGGTCGAACGCCGACGCTTCGAAACCGATAGAGCATACGAACTAGTCGAAAGTCTCGTTCCACATACGTGAAGCTTGCTTGAGACCGTAGATCGCCTTCACCAACTCGAGACAGTCGAAGTCGCCATTCATCTCGACGCCTTCTGGTATCACGCAGTACACCTTCTCCTTCATCACTCCGTAGAGAAAGGCTGTCACCACATCGAGTTGGTCCAGTGGCCAGTCGAAATACTTGGTGATCGCGATCACCATACGCAGTGTCACGTACTTGACCACGGGCGAGAACGTCTCTGTGTAGTCGATGCCGTACTTCTGCTTGAAGCCCTTGGCAACGAGACGCGCCTTGTATTTCTCGACCGATCCATCCGCTTTGCGCTTGATCTTGAACACCCACTTGGTGCCGATCGCGCCTTGGCCTCTTGGTAGTTTTGCCGCACGGAAAACTCCACGAAGATGCATCGACTTGAGTTCCGCCTTCACAGCATTTCGCCAGTGAGCTTGATCAGGACCATTGATCGCGTCTTGAAAAGTCACAGGTTCTGCTAGGTCCGTTGCTTCCACTGCGTTTGCACTTGCACGCCAAAATGTTGGAGGCGTCGAGTCGTCATCTTGATCGTGGACGCTTGCATCTTCTTCGTCATCAGACATCGTTTCTGGAGCACTTGATCGTCGTTTTTGGTGACGGTTGGAGACGTGTTCCGGCGCACTTGCTTGTTCCAACCCAGTTCGAGGGCGAGCTGAACGTGACATGCCGGGTCTTGCTTCACTCTTGCGCTTGCCAGTCTGCTTGTAGACGGTTTGACGCACGTCGTCCTCGTTGATCGCCAGGAGGTCGAGGTCCAACTCCGCATCTTCATCATTGTCACTTGGTCGGTCCAATGAAAAATCAAAAGTCGATTCGTCGAAGGTGATGTCACGACTGATTACTACTTGGTCCGCCTCAATGTCGTAAACTCGATACGCTTTTGATACCTCTTCGTATCCCATGAACATCCCTTCACGAGCCTTCGGGTCCCACTTCAATCGCTTCTCCCTTGGTGTCAGGATAAACGCCCGACATCCAAACACGCGCATGTGCTTGACACTTGGTTTCGACTTGTACACGATCTCGAACGGAGTCTTGTGGTCGATCTTGGGTGAAGGCAGGCGGTTCTTGATGTAGATCGCCGTTATTGCCGCTTCAGCCCAGAAACACTTCTCCAGTTTTGCATGATGCAACAAGCTGCGTCCGATCGTGACGATGGTCCTTATCGCGCGTTCTGCGGTGCCGTTGGTCTGGTGTGCATACGGCACCGTGATCTGTTGTTCGATACCATGATCTTCATAGAAGGTCTTGATGGAGTTGGTCGCAAACTCATGCGCTCCATCGTGCCGAACAAACTTGATCTTGGTGCTGAACTGAGTTTGAATCTTGATGATGTGGTTCTTGATACAGTCTTCACTCTCAGACTTGGACCGCAGACAGAAGCCCTTCATGCAACCGCTAGCTTCGTCAACCACAAGCAGTAAGTGTTTGCTGCCGCCGATCGAGACTTGTTCCATTGGCCCGCAGATGTCGAAGTGCAGCAACTCGAACACACCATATTGGCGTTTGTCACGGTTGGTTGGGAATTGTTTTTGGACCATCTTTCCTTGCTGGCAACCGCGACACACACTTGGACCAGTCGAGTTGAGAGGTGCCTTGGCGTCCTTGATCATGCCGGTGGCCACCATCTTGCGCAGAACTTCGAGGGGTGCATGACCCATGCGCGCATGCAAGTCGATAGTCCCATTGCGTGTTGCTGCATTCGCCGATCGTTGAGGAGTCCGCAGCCAGTAAAGTCCATCGACGAGATCCGTTGTTGCCACGACTTGTGTGGAATTCTTGCGCTTCACTTGCATCTTGGATCCATCGAACACGACTTGGAACCTGCCACCCTTGTTGATCTGTGGCACCGAAAGCAGATTCTTGCTCATACTTGGTACGAACAGTGCATCCTTGATCTCGATGTCGCGTTGGTCACCATTGGGCAGAACCACCCGTTCCATGATGGTTCCCACACCCTTGATCGCAGCCTTGCTGCCATCAGCCACTGATAGTTCGCCTTCCTCTCGCTCATTCAGACTTGCAAACTTGGCTTTGTCGTTGCAGATGTGATGCGTCGCACCGCTGTCGACTGCCCACATCCCTGGCATATTCTTGCCCGTCGAAAGTCCAGCCTCCAGCGAAACCGCGAACGCAACTCGATCGTAGTTGTCGTCGTAGTTGCTGTTGGTTCTCCACTGAACGTTGTTGGCTCCGCGTCCACGAGCATTGTTGCCGCCGCGTCGAGCTCCATCTTGATTTTCGTCCTTCTGCTTGGTCCAGCACCGCTCCGCCGTGTGCCCCAATTTTCCGCAGTATGTACATTGGCGAGGTTCACGCTCGGTAGTGAACGCCTTCGCCGCGTCTTCAGTCTTCACCGATGTCGTCTTGTCACCTTGCCTCTTGATGAGCTCATTCGTGAGCACTCTCACGACGTCTCGCGATCGCAGTTCCGCGCTGCTCATCTCCAAGTTGAGAACGACGTTCTCGTAGCTCTTGGGGAGGCTGCACAACAAGCAGATCGCCACGTCCTCATCCTCCATCTTGGCACCGATAATGCTGAGCTTCGCGCTGATGTGGAGAACTTCATTGCTGCGGTGCTTGGTATGAGTCAAGAACTGGTGTCTGTTGGGCTGGTGACGGCTTTGCAGTCGCTCATGCCAAAACGTTTGAGAACATCTTCCACGTAGCGTCGCTGGCACATCGTCACGCTACCGTCGTCGTTGTCCACCAGCTCGATGCCAAACACGAATGCGCACTTCCCACTGTCGGTCATTTCGAAACGCGCCTTTAAGTCACTCTTGGTGCGCATAATCAGTTCGGTTGAGCTGCCAGTCACCAACACATCATCGACGTATACCAGCAAAAGCACGCACTCGCCACTTGTAATCTTGAGATAAAGACACGGATCAAAATCGGAGACTTGAAATCCAATGGAGCAGACGAACTCATGGAAAGTCTCGTTCCATACGCGCGATGCTTGTTTTAGTCCGTAGATCGCCTTGACCAGTTCAAAGCAGTCAAAGTCTTTTGAGGGTTACCGGTACAATCCGAACCTAGCGCGTAGTTCTTACGAGATAGTTTTTACATCGGTAATTACCTCAGAGATGATTAGACGCGTAGGATGATTGGACGCGTGTAAATCAGGTTGATTAGATGCACCATGTGATTGGATGCAGTCTAGGGTAGGCAGAAGTTAAGACCTATAAATCAATCACTTTCGAATCCTCCCTCAAGTGAGCAAGTGTTCTCTGCTTCGTTCTCTCCGGTCTCTCCGCTTCGTTTTCTCTTCGCCTCGCGCTCAAATTGCAACAGGTTATGAGCCCAAGCGCCATGTCATCCAACAAGACCTCGGCCAGTGTCTCCATCGATAAGTTCGATGGGGACAACTACTCAACCTGGTGTCGCTACATGCGCGGCGTGTTTCTGACGAAGTCAGTCTGGTACGTCGTGAACCGCGAAACGTCTCCAACCTTCACCGACACGCGAGCTTCCGACGAGTACGTCAAGGCGAGCAACATCGCGTTCGGGTTGATGTTGCTCCACATGGACGCCGACTACCACCATGTGGTCGACAACTGTGAAGAAGCATGGACAGCGTGGTCGCGGTTGAAGATGCTCTATGGTGGGTCGCAGAAGGCGGGAAGCATCTACCTCAAGCGCCAGCTATTCAGCATCAAGATGGCGGAAGGTGCCAACGTCTTGCACCATTGCAACGAAGTCTTGAACATCGGCGCCAAGCTCAGCAGCATCGGTGCCAAGATGGAAGACGAAGACATTGCGATCTGCTTGCTGCTCAGTCTCCCGAAGAGTTTCGAGAACGTGGTTCTGAACTTAGAGATGAGCAATGCAGAGCTGCGCACGCAAGATGTGGTCAAGGTGCTGACTAACGAGCACATCAAGCGACAAGGCGAGAAGATGACAACGGCAACGACAACGGTGAAGACTGAAGATGCGACAAAGGCATTCAGTACCGAGCGCAAGCCCTACCAATGCACATACTGCGGCAAGGTGGGGCACACGGCAGAGCGTTGCTGGACGAAGCAAAAGGATGAAAGTCGAGGAGCCCAACGCGGCGGCAATGGTCGTGGACGCGGGGCAAACAATGTCCAGTGGCGACATTATGATGAAGGCAACAGCTACGATCGAGTGGCGTTTGCAGTTTCGTTCGAATGCGGAGTTTCGACGAACAAGAATGGAACAGGAATGTGGGCCGTTGACAGCGGGGCAACACATCACATCTGCCACGACAAGTTCAAGTTTGCAAGCTTGGTCGAAGGCAATGATGGCGAGATCCTGGTGGCTGATGGCAACAAGGCGACCATCAAAGGTGTGGGTGGGGACCATCGTGGAAAAGGTGATTCTGCCAAACGGGGAAGAGCGCGAGATCGAGATCAAGAACGCGCTCTATGTGCCCAGCATGAGCAAAAATCTGCTCTCGGTGCCGCAGATTAACAAGCACGGCAACTTCCAAGTGGTGTTTGACGGGGATACGATGTACGTCGCTCGCAAGGATTCCAATCAAGTGGTGGCAGCTGCGGATCTTGTAGACGGACTCTACTGGCTTCGCACGACGCAGCGATCGGCCAATGCGACATCACTCAGCAACGCTGTTGATCTACATGCGCTAATGGGCCATGCTCCAGTCGACGTGCTTCGCAGGATGGTGACAAGCCACATGATCAAGGACGCTCACATCCCTTCCAAGCCGAATGGATCAAGTGTGTGTCGAGGATGCCAAGAAGGGAAGATGGTCCAAAAACCATTCCCGAGCAACCGTGACAAGCGCACCTACAACACCTTCGAGATGCTCCACTTCGGCATCTGCGGACCCATGGAAGAAAAATCTCTGGGTGGCAGCAAGTATCTGCTGCTGATCGTGGATGAAGCCAGCGGATGCATGAAGGGTTTTTGTCTGCATTCCAAGTCAGAGAGCGAAGCGTGCATCAAGAAGTACATCACGATGATACAGACGCAGTTCAACAAGAAGGTCAAATTTGTGCGACACGATGGAGCCCGCGAGTTTGCGACGAACTCGCTTCAAGATTTCTACGAAGTCGAAGGCATCGAGCAACAAACCACGGTGCCATACGCACATCAAGCCAATGGAACTGCTGAACGCGCGATTCGAACTATCGTCACCATCGGTCGTAGCATGCTCCATCATGCCAAGTTGGACAAGTGCTTCTGGGCTGAAGCGGCAATGACGGCCGTCTATGTGAAGAACCGTTTGCCGTCACCCAAGATTCCACACAAGACACCGTTCGAGATTGTCTACAATTCTAAGCCAAGTGTCAAGCACATGCGCGTTTTTGGGTGCCAAGCATACATCTTGACCCCGAAGGAGAAACGACTCAAGTGGGATCCCAAGGCCCGGGCTGGATTGTTTTTGGGCTACGAAGAAGTGTCCAAGGCGTATCGAGTTTACGACATCGAAGCGGGGCAGGTGATGATAAGTCGCGATGTCAACTTCGATGAGTCGGCCTTTGGAATGTCGATGCTGATTTCCGATGACGATGTTGATGGCCTGGACTTCGAATCGATCGATCTTGATGATGAAGAACCGCGTCCGAGACACTTCAAACAAACAGGAAAGCGCAAGGCCCAACCCAGTCACGACAATGACGACGCAAGCATGCCCCGAGCAGTGCGCCAACGACCCGGATTGGAAGAGTCAAGTGCGCCGGATGACCTCTCTTCACGTCGAGCCAACGAAGATGAAGAAAGGAAGTCGGAGGAACAACATGACACACCGACTTCCTCCGCGTTTTGGCATGCGAGTGCAAACGCCGTCGAAGCAGCGGTCGATTTTTCGGAGCCGTCGACATTTGAAGAAGCAGTATCTGGCCCGGACCAAGTACACTGGCGCAAGGCAATTGATGCGGAGCTCGATTCGATAAAGCTTCGCGGTGTCTTTCGTGCGGCCAAGTTACCCAACGGACAAAGCGCCATTGGCACAAAGTGGGTCTTCAAGATCAAGCGCAAGGCGGATGGGTCGATCGAGAAATACAAGGCACGACTTGTGGCCAAGGGTTTTCGCCAAAAGTATGGCATTGACTACACGGAGACGTTCTCGCCCGTGGTCAAGTATGTGACGCTGCGAATGGTCATCGCCATTACCAAGCACTTTGGATGGCCCCTCGACCAGCTCGATGTGGTGACTGCGTTCCTGTATGGAGTGATGAAGGAGAAGGTGTTCTGCGCTGTTCCGGAAGGCGTCAAGATGGAAGGTGATTTCGACTGTCTCGAGCTGATCAAGGCGATCTACGGTCTCAAGCAAGCCTCGCGTGTTTGGAACGAGACCTTCGACGAGTTCATACGCTCGATTGGTTTTCAAGCGTCGGGATTCGATCCATGTCTCTACATCATGACTTCGGAAGGCCATTGTGTTTTTGTGCTGGTCTACGTGGACGATGTCTTGGTGACTGGAAGCTCGCTCGAGATGATTGCGCGCACCAAGAACGACCTCAAGACACGCTTCGAGATGACGGACAGCGGCAAGTGTGCCTTTGTTCTTGGGATCGAGTTATTGGACGGTGAAGATGGCAGCGTGACTATGTGTCAGCGCCGTTATGTCGACGATGTCCTCAAGCGCTTTGGAATGGATGAGTGCAAGGCTGTGGCAAGTCCGGTGGACGTCAGCTCTCGACTGGTTCCAAGCAACTCTGCAAGCAAGGTGAATGTCCCATTCCGTGAAGCATTGGGTGCTTTGATGCATCTGACGACTGCAACGCGACCGGACATCGCCTATGCTGTAAGCTTTGTGTCACGGTTCATGGAGAAACCCCAAGAAGAACACTGGGTTGCAGTCAAGCGCATCTTCCGCTACCTACAAGGCACCAAGATGCATGGAATCTGCTACAAGCCAAGTGCGAAGATCGACTTTCGTGGCTATTCAGATGCAGACTGGGCCGGTGACCTTGCTGATCGCAAATCGACGTCCGGCTACGTCTTCATGCTATTGGGTGCTCCGGTGAGTTGGGGCAGCAAGAAACAGCCAAGTGTGTCACTGTCTACAAGCGAAGCGGAGTACATCGCGCTCAGCCTGGCGATCCAAGAAGGCAAGTGGATCAATCGCTTGCTGTGCGAGATCATGGCGGCTGCAAACGAAGAAGGACCCGAGCTCGTCATCCGTGAAGACAACCAGTCGTGCATCAAGATGACGAAGAATCCGGTCAACCACGGCCGCGCTAAACACATCGACATCAAGTACCATCACATCCGTGATGAAGTCAAGCGCGGCGAAGTGAAGCTTGAATACTGCGAGACGACGTTGATGTTGGCGGACATCATGACGAAGGGACTTCACGGACCGCGTCACAAGGACTTGACGGCGGCGCTTGGCATCCGTGCGTGTTCGGATTGAGGGGGCGTATTGAGGGTTACCGGTACAATCCGAACCTAGCGCGTAGTTCTTACGAGATAGTTTTTACATCGGTAATTACCTCAGAGATGATTAGACGCGTAGGATGATTGGACGCGTGTAAATCAGGTTGATTAGATGCACCATGTGATTGGGTGCAGTCTAGGGTAGGCAGAAATTAAGACCTATAAATCAATCACTTTCGAATCCTCCCTCAAGTGAGCAAGTGTTCTCTGCTTCGTTCTCTCCGGTCTCTCCGCTTCGTTTTCTCTTCGCCTCGCGCTCAAATTGCAACAGGTTATGAGCCCAAGCGCCATGTCATCCAACAAGACCTCGGCCAGTGTCTCCATCGATAAGTTCGATGGGGACAACTACTCAACCTGGTGTCGCTACATGCGCGGCGTGTTTCTGACGAAGTCAGTCTGGTACGTCGTGAACCGCGAAACGTCTCCAACCTTCACCGACACGCGAGCTTCCGACGAGTACGTCAAGGCGAGCAACATCGCGTTCGGGTTGATGTTGCTCCACATGGACGCCGACTACCACCATGTGGTCGACAACTGTGAAGAAGCATGGACAGCGTGGTCGCGGTTGAAGATGCTCTATGGTGGGTCGCAGAAGGCGGGACGCATCTACCTCAAGCGCCAGCTGTTCAGCATCAAGATGGCGGAAGGTGCCAACGTCTTGCACCATTGCAACGAAGTCTTGAACATCGGCGCCAAGCTCAGCAGCATCGGTGCCAAGATGGAAGACGAAGACATTGCGATCTGCTTGCTGCTCAGTCTCCCGAAGAGTTTCGAGAACGTGGTTCTGAACTTGGAGATGAGCACTGCAGAGCTGCGCACGCAAGATGTGGTCAAGGTGCTGACTAACGAGCACATCAAGCGACAAGGCGAGAAGATGACAACGGCAACGAAAACGGTGAAGACTGAAGATGCGACAAAGGCATTCAGTACCGAGCGCAAACCCTACCAATGCACATACTGCGGCAAGGTGGGGCACACGGCAGAGCGTTGCTGGACGAAGCAAAAGGATGAAAGTCGAGGAGCCCAACGCGGCGGCAATGGTCGTGGACGCGGGGCAAACAATGTCCAGTGGCGACATTATGATGAAGGCAACAGCTACGATCGAGTGGCGTTTGCAGTTTCGTTCGAATGCGGAGTTTCGACGAACAAGAATGGACCAGGAATGTGGGCCGTTGACAGCGGGGCAACACATCACATCTGCCACGACAAGTTCAAGTTTGCAAGCTTGGTCGAAGGCAATGATGGCGAGATCCTGGTGGCTGATGGCAACAAGGCGACCATCAAAGGTGTGGGGACCATCGTGGAAAAGGTGATTCTGCCAAACGGGGAAGAGCGCGAGATCGAGATCAAGAACGCGCTCTATGTGCCCAGCATGAGCAAAAATCTGCTCTCGGTGCCGCAGATTAACAAGCACGGCAACTTCCAAGTGGTGTTTGACGGGGATACGATGTACGTCGCTCGCAAGGATTCCAATCAAGTGGTGGCAGCTGCGGATCTTGTAGACGGACTCTACTGGCTTCGCACGACGCAGCGATCGGCCAATGCGACATCACTCAGCAACGCTGTTGATCTACATGCGCGAATGGGCCATGCTCCAGTCGACGTGCTTCGCAGGATGGTGACAAGCCACATGATCAAGGACGCTCACATCCCTTCCAAGCCGAATGGATCAAGTGTGTGTCGAGGATGCCAAGAAGGGAAGATGGTCCAAAAACCATTCCCGAGCAACCGTGACAAGCGCACCTACAACACCTTCGAGATGCTCCACTTCGACATCTGCGGACCCATGGAAGAAAAATCTCTGGGTGGCAGCAAGTATCTGCTGCTGATCGTGGATGAAGCCAGCGGATGCATGAAGGGTTTTTGTCTGCATTCCAAGTCAGAGAGCGAAGAGTGCATCAAGAAGTACATCACGATGATACCGACGCAGTTCAACAAGAAGGTCAAATTTGTGCGACACGATGGAGCCCGCGAGTTTGCGACGAACTCGCTTCAAGATTTCTACGAAGTCGAAGGCATCGAGCAACAAACCACGGTGCCATACGCACATCAAGCCAATGGAACTGATGAACGCGCGATTCGAACTATCGTCACCATCGGTCGTGGCATGCTCCATCATGCCAAGTTGGACAAGTGCTTCTGGGCTGAAGCGGCAATGACGGCCGTCTATGTGAAGAACCGTTTGCCGTCACCCAAGATTCCACACAAGACACCGTTCGAGATTGTCTACAATTCTAAGCCAAGTGTCAAGCACATGCGCGTTTTTGGGTGCCAAGCATACATCTTGACCCCGAAGGAGAAACGACTCAAGTGGGATCCCAAGGCCCGGGCTGGATTGTTTTTGGGCTACGAAGAAGTGTCCAAGGCGTATCGAGTTTACGACATCGAAGCGGGGCAGGTGATGATAAGTCGCGATGTCAACTTCGATGAGTCGGCCTTTGGAATGTCGATGCTGATTTCCGATGACGATGTTGATGGCCTGGACTTCGAATCGATCGATCTTGATGATGAAGAACCGCGTCCGAGACACTTCAAACAAACAGGAAAGCGCAAGGCCCAACCCAGTCACGACAATGACGACGCAAGCATGCCCCGAGCAGTGCGCCAACGACCCGGATTGGAAGAGTCAAGTGCGCCGGATGACCTCTCTTCACGTCGAGCCAACGAAGATGAAGAAAGGAAGTCGGAGGAACAACATGACACACCGACTTCCTCCGCGTTTTGGCATGCGAGTGAAAACGCCGTCGAAGCAGCGGTCGATTTTTCAGAGCCGTCGACATTTGAAGAAGCAGTATCTGGCCCGGACCAACTACACTGGCGCAAGGCAATTGATGCGGAGCTCGATTCGATGAAGCTTCGCGGTGTCTTTCGTGCGGCCAAGTTACCAAACGGACAAAGCGCCATTGGCACAAAGTGGGTCTTCAAGATCAAGCGCAAGGCGGATGGGTCGATCGAGAAATACAAGGCACGACTTGTGGCCAAGGGTTTTCGCCAAAAGTATGGCATCGACTACACGGAGACGTTCTCGCCCGCGGTCAAGTATGTGACGCTGCGAATGGTCATCGCCATTACCAAGCACTTTGGATGGCCCCTCGACCAGCTCGATGTGGTGACTGCGTTCCTGTATGGAGTGATGAAGGAGAAGGTGTTCTGCGCTGTTCCGGAAGGCGTCAAGATGGAAGGTGATTTCGACTGTCTCGAGCTGATCAAGGCGATCTACGGTCTCAAGCAAGCCTCGCGTGTTTGGAACGAGACCTTCGACGAGTTCATACGCTCGATTGGTTTTCAAGCGTCGGGATTCGATCCATGTCTCTACATCATGACTTCGGAAGGCCATTGTGTTTTTGTGCTGGTCTACGTGGACGATGTCTTGGTGACTGGAAGCTCGCTCGAGATGATTGCGCGCACCAAGAACGACCTCAAGACACGCTTCGAGATGACGGACAGCGGCAAGTGTGCCTTTGTTCTTGGGATCGAGTTATTGGACGGTGAAGATGGCAGCGTGACTATGTGTCAGCGCCGTTATGTCGACGATGTCCTCAAGCGCTTTGGAATGGATGAGTGCAAGGCTGTGGCAAGTCCGGTGGACGTCAGCTCTCGACTGGTTCCAAGCAACTCTGCAAGCAAGGTGAATGTCCCATTCCGTGAAGCAGTGGGTGCTTTGATGCACCTGACGACTGCAACGCGACCGGACATCGCCTATGCTGTAAGCTTTGTGTCACGGTTCATGGAGAAACCCCAAGAAGAACACTGGGTTGCAGTCAAGCGCATCTTCCGCTACCTACAAGGCACCAAGATGCATGGAATCTGCTACAAGCCAAGTGCGAAGATCGACTTTCGTGGCTATTCAGATGCAGACTGGGCCGGTGACCTTGCTGATCGCAAATCGACGTCCGGCTACGTCTTCATGCTATTGGGTGCTCCGGTGAGTTGGGGCAGCAAGAAACAGCCAAGTGTGTCACTGTCTACAAGCGAAGCGGAGTACATCGCGCTCAGCCTGGCGATCCAAGAAGGCAAGTGGATCAATCGCTTGCTGTGCGAGATCATGGCGGCTGCAAACGAAGAAGGACCCGAGCTCGTCATCCGTGAAGACAACCAGTCGTGCATCAAGATGACGAAGAATCCGGTCAACCACGGCCGCGCTAAACACATCGACATCAAGTACCATCACATCCGTGATGAAGTCAAGCGCGGCGAAGTGAAGCTTGAATACTGCGAGACGACGTTGATGTTGGCGGACATCATGACCAAGGCACTTCACGGACCGCGTCACAAGAACCTGACACAGGCGCTTGGCATCCGTGCGTGTTCGGATTGAGGGGGCGTATTGAGGGTTACCGGTACAATCCGAACCTAGCGCGTAGTTCTTACGAGATAGTTTTTACATCGGTAATTACCTCAGAGATGATTAGACGCGTAGGATGATTGGACGCGTGTAAATCAGGTTGATTAGATGCACCATGTGATTGGATGCAGTCTAGGGTAGGCAGAAGTTAAGACCTATAAATCAATCACTTTCGAATCCTCCCTCAAGTGAGCAAGTGTTCTCTGCTTCGTTCTCTCCGGTCTCTCCGCTTCGTTTTCTCTTCGCCTCGCGCTCAAATTGCAACAAAGTCTTCATTAACTTCGACCCCTTCTGGGATCGTGCAGAATACCTGCTCTTCATTTCTCCGTATAGGAAAGCAGTCACAATGTCCAGTTGGTCCAGTGTCCTGTCGAAGTACTTCGTGATTGCAACCACCATGCGCAGCGTCACGTACTTGACTACCGGCGAAAACGTTTCCGTGTAGTCGATGCCATATTTCTGCTTGAACCCTTTTGCCACGAGGCGCGCCTTGTATTTCTCGATGGATCCATCAGCTTTCCGTTTGATCTTGAATACCCAGGGTTGATGCCAATGGTATGCTCTCCATCTGGCAGTTTGGTCGCTCGAAACACGCCACGAAGTTTCATCGAGTCCAGCTCGGCACAGATTGCCTTACGCCAATGCACTTGATCTGGTCCACCAACAGCATCTTCAAACGTTGTCGGCTCAGACAAGTCAGTACCTTCGACTGCATTGGCACTCGCTCGCCAAAAGACTTGAGGTGTAGCATCCTCGTTATCTTCGTCACTGCCCTTTTGCTCTTCGTCCAGATTGTCTCGAGCGCTTGATCGTCGCTTTGCTTGGTGCGATTCAGAGTTATCCGGGGCACTTGCTTCTTCTAACCCAGTTCCACGACGCTCAAGAAGTGTCCGTTGTAGAACTTGTTCTTGACTGTTTGAACGGCTTTTGCGTTTTCCAGTTTGCTTGAACTGCATGGGGTGAGGCTCATCGCTGATGTTCATCGATTCGATATCCAGCGCAGTTATTGAGGGTTACCGGTACAATCCGAACCTAGCGCGTAGTTCTTACGAGATAGTTTTTACATCGGTAATTACCTCAGAGATGATTAGACGCGTAGGATGATTGGACGCGTGTAAATCAGGTTGATTAGATGCACCATGTGATTGGATGCAGTCTAGGGTAGGCAGAAATTAAGACCTATAAATCAATCACTTTCGAATCCTCCCTCAAGTGAGCAAGTGTTCTCTGCGTCGTTCTCTCCGGTCTCTCCGCTTCGTTTTCTCTTCGCCTCGCGCTCAAGTTACAACAGGTTATGAGCCCAAGCGCCATGTCATCCAACAAGACCTCGGCCAGTGTCTCCATCGATAAGTTCGATGGGGACAACTACTCAACCTGGTGTCGCTACATGCGCGGCGTGTTTCTGACGAAGTCAGTCTGGTACGTCGTGAACCGCGAAACGTCTCCAACCTTCACCGACACGCGAGCTTCCGACGAGTACGTCAAGGCGAGCAACATCGCGTTCGGGTTGATGTTGCTCCACATGGACGCCGACTACCACCATGTGGTCGACAACTGTGAAGAAGCATGGACAGCGTGGTCGCGGTTGAAGATGCTCTATGGTGGGTCGCAGAAGGCGGGACGCATCTACCTCAAGCGCCAGCTGTTCAGCATCAAGATGGCGGAAGGTGCCAACGTCTTGCACCATTGCAACGAAGTCGTGAACATCGGCGTCAGTCTCAGCAGCATCGGTGCCAAGATGGAAGACGAAGACATTGCGATCTGCTTGCTGCTCAGTCTCCCGAAGAGTTTCGAGAACGTGGTTCTGAACTTGGAGATGAGCAATGCAGAGCTGCGCACGCAAGATGTGGTCAAGGTGCTGACTAACGAGCACATCAAGCGACAAGGCGAGAAGATGACAACGGCAACGACAACGGTGAAGACTGAAGATGCGACAAAGGCATTCAGTACCGAGCGCAAACCCTACCAATGCACATACTGCGGCAAGGTGGGGCACACGGCAGAGCGTTGCTGGACGAAGCAAAAGGATGAAAGTCGAGGAGCCCAACGCGGCGGCAATGGTCGTGGACGCGGGGCAAACAATGTCCAGTGGCGACATTATGATGAAGGCAACAGCTACGATCGAGTGGCGTTTGCAGTTTCGTTCGAATGCGGAGTTTCGACGAACAAGAATGGACCAGGAATGTGGGCCATTGACAGCGGGGCAACACATCACATCTGCCACGACAAGTTCAAGTTTGCAAGCTTGGTCGAAGGCAATGATGGCGAGATCCTGGTGGCTGATGGCAACAAGGCGACCATCAAAGGTGTGGGGACCATCGTGGAAAAGGTGATTCTGCCAAACGGGGAAGAGCGCGAGATCGAGATCAAGAACGCGCTCTATGTGCCCAGTATGAGCAAAAATCTGCTCTCGGTGCCGCAGATTAACAAGCACGGCAACTTCCAAGTGGTGTTTGACGGGGATACGATGTACGTCGCTCGCAAGGATTCCAATCAAGTGGTGGCAGCTGCGGATCTTGTAGACGGACTCTACTGGCTTCGCACGACGCAGCGATCGGCCAATGCGACATCACTCAGCAACGCTGTTGATCTACATGCGCGAATGGGCCATGCTCCAGTCGACGTGCTTCGCAGGATGGTGACAAGCCACATGATCAAGGACGCTCACATCCCTTCCAAGCCGAATGGATCAAGTGTGTGTCGAGGATGCCAAGAAGGGAAGATGGTCCAAAAACCATTCCCGAGCAACCGTGACAAGCGCACCTACAACACCTTCGAGATGCTCCACTTCGACATCTGCGGACCCATGGAAGAAAAATCTCTGGGTGGCAGCAAGTATCTGCTGCTGATCGTGGATGAAGCCAGCGGATGCATGAAGGGTTTTTGTCTGCATTCCAAGTCAGAGAGCGAAGAGTGCATCAAGAAGTACATCACGATGATACAGACGCAGTTCAACAAGAAGGTCAAATTTGTGCGACACGATGGAGCCCGCGAGTTTGCGACGAACTCGCTTCAAGATTTCTACGAAGTCGAAGGCATCGAGCAACAAACCACGGTGCCATACGCACATCAAGCCAATGGAACTGATGAACGCGCGATTCGAACTATCGTCACCATCGGTCGTAGCATGCTCCATCATGCCAAGTTGGACAAGTGCTTCTGGGCTGAAGCGGCAATGACGGCCGTCTATGTGAAGAACCGTTTGCCGTCACCCAAGATTCCACACAAGACACCGTTCGAGATTGTCTACAATTCTAAGCCAAGTGTCAAGCACATGCGCGTTTTTGGGTGCCAAGCATACATCTTGACCCCGAAGGAGAAACGACTCAAGTGGGATCCCAAGGCCCGGGCTGGATTGTTTTTGGGCTACGAAGAAGTGTCCAAGGCGTATCGAGTTTACGACATCGAAGCGGGGCAGGTGATGATAAGTCGCGATGTCAACTTCGATGATTCGGCCTTTGGAATGTCGATGCTGATTTCCGATGACGATGTTGATGGCCTGGACTTCGAATCGATCGATCTTGATGATGAAGAACCGCGTCCGAGACACTTCAAACAAACAGGAAAGCGCAAGGCCCAACCCAGTCACGACAATGACGACGCAAGCATGCCCCGAGCAGTGCGCCAACGACCCGGATTGGAAGAGTCAAGTGCGCCGGATGACCTCTCTTCACGTCGAGCCAACGAAGATGAAGAAAGGAAGTCGGAGGAACAACTTGACACACCGACTTCCTCCGCGTTTTGGCATGCGAGTGCAAACGCCGTCGAAGCAGCGGTCGATTTTTCGGAGCCGTCGACATTTGAAGAAGCAGTATCTGGCCCGGACCAACTACACTGGCGCAAGGCAATTGATGCGGAGCTCGATTCGATGAAGCTTCGCGGTGTCTTTCGTGCGGCCAAGTTACCCAACGGACAAAGCGCCATTGGCACAAAGTGGGTCTTCAAGATCAAGCGCAAGGCGGATGGGTCGATCGAGAAATACAAGGCACGACTTGTGGCCAAGGGTTTTCGCCAAAAGTATGGCATCGACTACACGGAGACGTTCTCGCCCGTGGTCAAGTATGTGACGCTGCGAATGGTCATCGCCATTACCAAGCACTTTGGATGGCCCCTCGACCAGCTCGATGTGGTGACTGCGTTCCTGTATGGAGTGATGAAGGAGAAGGTGTTCTGCGCTGTTCCGGAAGGCGTCAAGATGGAAGGTGATTTCGACTGTCTCGAGCTGATCAAGGCGATCTACGGTCTCAAGCAAGCCTCGCGTGTTTGGAACGAGACCTTCGACGAGTTCATACGCTCGATTGGTTTTCAAGCGTCGGGATTCGATCCATGTCTCTACATCATGACTTCGGAAGGCCATTGTGTTTTTGTGCTGGTCTACGTGGACGATGTCTTGGTGACTGGAAGCTCACTCGAGCTGATTGCACAAACCAAGAACGACCTGAAGACACGCTTCAAGATGACTGATAGCGGCAAGTGTGCATTTGTTCTTGGAATCGAGTTATTGGACGGTGAAGATGGCAGCGTGACTATGTGTCAGCGCCGTTATGTCGACGATGTCCTCAAGCGCTTTGGAATGGATGAGTGCAAGGCTGTGGCAAGTCCGGTGGACGTCAGCTCTCGACTGGTTCCAAGCAACTCTGCAAGCAAGGTGAATGTCCCATTCCGTGAAGCAGTGGGTGCTTTGATGCACCTGACGACTGCAACGCGACCGGACATCGCCTATGCTGTAAGCTTTGTGTCACGGTTCATGGAGAAACCCCAAGAAGAACACTGGGTTGCAGTCAAGCGCATCTTCCGCTACCTACAAGGCACCAAGATGCATGGAATCTGCTACAAGCCAAGTGCGAAGATCGACTTTCGTGGCTATTCAGATGCAGACTGGGCCGGTGACCTTGCTGATCGCAAATCGACGTCCGGCTACGTCTTCATGCTATTGGGTGCTCCGGTGAGTTGGGGCAGCAAGAAACAGCCAAGTGTGTCACTGTCTACAAGCGAAGCGGAGTACATCGCGCTCAGCCTGGCGATCCAAGAAGGCAAGTGGATCAATCGCTTGCTGTGCGAGATCATGGCGGCTGCAAACGAAGAAGGACCCGAGCTCGTCATCCGTGAAGACAACCAGTCGTGCATCAAGATGACGAAGAATCCGGTCAACCACGGCCGCGCTAAACACATCGACATCAAGTACCATCACATCCGTGATGAAGTCAAGCGCGGCGAAGTGAAGCTTGAATACTGCGAGACAACGTTGATGTTGGCGGACATCATGACCAAGGCACTTCACGGACCGCGTCACAAGAACTTGACGGCGGCGCTTGGCATCCGTGCGTGTTCGGATTGAGGGGGCGTATTGAGGGTTACCGGTACAATCCGAACCTAGCGCGTAGTTCTTACGAGATAGTTTTTACATCGGTAATTACCTCAGAGATGATTAGACGCGTAGGATGATTGGACGCGTGTAAATCAGGTTGATTAGATGCACCATGTGATTGGATGCAGTCTAGGGTAGGCAGAAGTTAAGACCTATAAATCAATCACTTTCGAATCCTCCCTCAAGTGAGCAAGTGTTCTCTGCTTCGTTCTCTCCGGTCTCTCCGCTTCGTTTTCTCTTCGCCTCGCGCTCAAGTTACAACACATCATGCACTTACATCACCTTGGTGTCAGGATAAACGCCCGACATCCAAACACGCGCATCTGCTTGACACTTGGTTTCGACTTGTACACGATCTCGAACGGAGTCTTGTGGTCGATCTTGGGTGAAGGCAGGCGGTTCTTGATGTAGATCGCCGTCATTGCCGCTTCAGCCCAGAAACACTTCTCCAGTTTTGCATGATGCAACAAGCTGCGTCCGATCGTGACGATGGTCCTTATCGCGCGTTCTGCGGTGCCGTTGGTCTGGTGTGCATACGGCACCGTGATCTGTTGTTCGATACCATGATTTTTGTAGAAGGTCTTGATGGAGTTGGTCGCAAACTCATGCGCTCCATCGTGCCGAACAAACTTGATCTTGGTGCTGAACTGAGTTTGAATCTTGATGATGTGGTTCTTGATACAGTCTTCACTCTCAGACTTGGACCGCAGACAGAAGCCCTTCATGCAACCGCTGGCTTCGTCAACCACAAGCAGTAAGTATTTGCTGCCGCCGATCGAGACTTGTTCCATTGGCCCGCAGATGTCGAAGTGCAGCAACTCGAACAAACCATATTGGCGTTTGTCACGGTTGGTTGGGAATGGTTTTTGGACCATCTTTCCTTGCTGGCAACCGCGACACACACTTGGACCAGTCGAGTTGAGAGGTGCCTTGGCGTCCTTGATCATGCCAGTGGCCACCATCTTGCGCAGAACTTCGAGGGGTGCATGACCCATGCGCGCATGTGTTGATGGTGAAAAGCTTAACGACCGAAACTGGGAGTGATGGTGGGAGTCCACTCGTATTGAGGGTTACCGGTACAATCCGAACCTAGCGCGTAGTTCTTACGAGATAGTTTTTACATCGGTAATTACCTCAGAGATGATTAGACGCGTAGGATGATTGGACGCGTGTAAATCAGGTTGATTAGATGCACCATGTGATTGGATGCAGTCTAGGGTAGGCAGAAGTTAAGACCTATAAATCAATCACTTTCGAATCCTCCCCTCAAGTGAGCAAGTGTTCTCTGCTTCGTTCTCTCCGGTCTCTCCGCTTCGTTTTCTCTTCGCCTCGCGCTCAAGTTACAACAGGTTATGAGCCCAAGCGCCATGTCGTCCAACAACACCTCGGCCAGTGTCTCCATCGATAAGTTCGATGGGGACAACTACTCAACCTGGTGTCGCTACATGCGCGGCGTGTTTCTGACGAAGTCAGTCTGGTACGTCGTGAACCGCGAAACGTCTCCAACCTTCACCGACACGCGAGCTTCCGACGAGTACGTCAAGGCGAGCAACATCGCGTTCGGGTTGATGTTGCTCCACATGGACGCCGACTACCACCATGTGGTCGACAACTGTGAAGAAGCATGGACAGCGTGGTCGCGGTTGAAGATGCTCTATGGTGGGTCGCAGAAGGCGGGACGCATCTACCTCAAGCGCCAGCTGTTCAGCATCAAGATGGCGGAAGGTGCCAACGTCTTGCACCATTGCAACGAAGTCTTGAACATCGGCGCCAAGCTCACAGCATCGGTGCCAAGATGGAAGACGAAGACATTGCGATCTGCTTGCTGCTCAGTCTCCCGAAGAGTTTCGAGAACGTGGTTCTGAACTTGGAGATGAGCAATGCAGAGCTGCGCACGCAAGATGTGGTCAAGGTGCTGACTAACGAGCACATCAAGCGACAAGGCGAGAAGATGACAACGGCAACGACAACGGTGAAGACTGAAGATGCGACAAAGGCATTCAGTACCGAGCGCAAGCCCTACCAATACACATACTGCGGCAAGGTGGGGCACACGGCAGAGCGTTGCTGGACGAAGCAAAAGGATGAAAGTCGAGGAGCCCAACGCGGCGGCAATGGTCGTGGACGCGGGGCAAACAATGTCCAGTGGCGACATTATGATGAAGGCAACAGCTACGATCGAGTGGCGTTTGCAGTTTCGTTCGAATGCGAGAGTTTCGACGAACAAGAATGGACCAGGAATGTGGGCCGTTGACAGCGGGGCAACACATCACATCTGCCACGACAAGTTCAAGTTTGCAAGCTTGGTCGAAGGCAATGATGGCGAGATCCTGGTGGCTGATGGCAACAAGGCGGCCATCAAAGGGTGGGGACCATCGTGGAAAAGGTGATTCTGCCAAACGGGGAAGAGCGCGAGATCGAGATCAAGAACGCGCTCTATGTGCCTCAGCATGAGCAAAAATCTGCCCTCGGTGCCGCAGATTAACAAGCACGGCAACTTCCAAGTGGTGTTTGACGGGGATACGATGTACGTCGCTCGCAAGGATTCCAATCAAGTGGTGGCAGCTGCGGATCTTGTAGACAGACTTTACTGGCTTCGCACGACGCAGCGATCGGCCAATGCGACATCACTCAGCAACGCTGTTGGATCTACATGCACGAATGGGCCATGCTCCAGTCGACGTGCTTCGCAGGATGGTGACAAGCCACATGATCAAGGACGCTCACATCCCCTTCCAAGCCGAATGGATCAAGTGTATGTCGCGGATGTTAATAAGGGAAGATGGTCCAAAACCATTCCCGAGTAACCGTGACAAGCGCACCTACAACACCTTCGAGATGCTCCACTTCGACATCTGCGGACCCATGGAAGAAAAATCTCTGGGTGGCAGCAAGCATCCGCTGCTGATCGTGGATGAAGCCAGCGGATGCCTGAAGGGTTTTTGTCTGCATTCCAAGTCAGAGAGCGAAGAGTGCATCAAGAAGTACATCAAGATGATACAGACGCAGTTCAACAAGAAGGTCAAATTTGTGCGACACGATGGAGCCCGCGAGTTTGCGACGAACTTATTGAGGGTTACCGGTACAATCCGAACCTAGCGCGTAGTTCTTACGAGATAGTTTTTACATCGGTAATTACCCCAGAGATGATTAGACGCGTAGGGATGATTGGACGCGTGTAAA